TTCGTTATTGATTTTTTTAATTTGATTTTTATTTTGTTTGAATTTTATTTTATTGTATGATAATAAATAATTCTAATAATTATTATAATTATAATAATAATAATGATAATCTTTAATTTATTACATTATTTTATTATTTTTTCACTCTTGCACTTTTAATTTTTATTTTATATTTATTCTTTTATTCTTCTCTTTCACTCTTTTATTTTACCTTTTATCTTTTAGTTTTCACCCTTTTTTCTTTTATTTTTACCCTTTATTATTCTACGTTTTATTTTATTCTTTTACTATGCTATTTTCCTTTCCTTTTTTAAAATTTTTTCATTCTATTTTTTATTTGCTTTTTACATTTTTTTATTTGTTTTATTGCTACCCCCCCCCCCCAGGGGCAGAGCTGCACTGCTTACTACACCAGTTAATTTTTAATTCCAGCCCCCCGTGCTGCCCCACCGGTGGCTGCGGGGGCCACGCAGGTTCCTTCTCCCTTCCCCCGGTTCATACGGTGCTCATTTCCTCTTTCCAAGCCCAGCCTTCCCCTTTCCAGCTCCTTCCCTGCACCCCGCGGGGGTGCCCAAGCCAACTGGATGCTGCGTGGGCGTCAGAGGATTCCCAACACCCACCGAGCCTGCAGCACCATAAATCCCTTCCCGACATCCCGGGGCAGGGATGCGGTGCACGGGATGTCACCGGGCTCCCCGCCTGCCTCGGGAGAGAGGATTTATCCCACGGCAGCTTGGGCACCTCTCGCGGCCGCCAAGGATGGATTCTGGCCATCCTGTGTCTGAATGCCTGGAAAACACGATGCCTGAGTGGTACAAGATGGGGTTCCTGGCACCCTGTGTCTGATGTGATTGTGGCTGTCCTGGACCTCCCCGTGGTGACAAGGTTTTCCAGCTCTCATCCAAGCCAGCCCCGCGTTGCCGGGCACGGCTGGAGCGGGCAGCTGTTCCCTTTCCGCCTGCCTGCTCCCTGCATCCCTGATGGTTTGCACAAGGCAGGAAATGTCAGCAATGAGCTCCCGTTAATGGCACTTCACCCACTGCTCTCCTAAAAACCGCTCAGGCGGGCGGCTGGGATGGAATGGGAGCAGGAGCCGGGAGAGCAGCTCTTGGCAACCTGCTGCGCTGCCAGCACCGCGGGGCCGAAAGGATGGAAGTGCCTGGGGATAGGGATGTTACTGTGGTAACCTCGGATTGCACTAGCACTGAAGGAAACCCCTGCAGCAGTATTATGGCAGGGCAGGGAATGCACCCAAAACCCTTTCAGTTCCCTTCCCAAAATTTCAGTCCACCCCAAACCCTTTCAACTCCCCAGTGCAACTGCTCTCACCTCTGTTTGAATTGGGATTGAATATCACTCTGTGCTTGGACTACCGAGTCTGCACCCTTGGCATCCCCCCCCTTCTCACAGGACACCGTGGGTTGGCTGATGTGCCCACTGGGATGGCATTAATGAGACCAAGCTCAAAGCAGGCTGCTCCGTGCCAGTGTTGATGGAGCCACAAAAAACTTTCACCCCTTGCGCCAGACACACCAAGGTCCTGCTGGTTCCTATCTGTTCCAGCCAGAGAAAGACCCCACCCCTGCCCCCGTTCCTGATAAACTGGGCTAATAAGCTATAAAATGGTGATTATTTTTTGACAGCGATGACTTGGGTCATCCATGGGGAGGAAGCGGGGTCAGAGCATTGTGGTGCCTGCCCTTCACACCCTCTGCATCCCTGGGGGTGTCCCCAGGGGTATCCCCATCCCTGCAGCTGTGTTGGGGGTCTGGGGAGAGGCTCCAGGGCTGGAGGAGGTTGCTGTGGCCTCGCTCCTGGTGTGTGAAATTGTGCTGTGGGTGCCTGGAGCTACTTCTGGGAAAGGGTGGGTTTTGTTTTTTCCTTGTCTTCCTGTGTGGAAGAGGAAAGCCACTTCTAGCTGCCAGCAGGACACAGTGGCCGGACACGGTCAGGGATGTGTGTCCCTGGCCTGGGAGTGAAGCTGAGGTCACCACGTGCCTTCAACCATGGCCAGATCCACCCAAGGAAACCTTTGGCAGCCCCAGCACTGCAAAGCCCTGGGGTGTCCCTGCATGGTCCCCTCTCTGGGCAGGGGTTATCAGGGCTGAAGGCTTTGGTCACCCATTACCGTGGGTCGGGTGGGAGGCCAGGGCCATGGCTGGTGGCACTGACAGAGCTGTCCTGTGTCCCTCCAGCACGGGGAGCAGTGACCCATACTGCATCGTGAAGATTGACGATGAGGCCATCATCAGGTGAGTGGCTGCAGGTCCCTGGCTGGTCCCAAACCTGCTGGAGCCCTAAATTTGGTTTCTGGTGGGTTCCTCCATTTACCCTCCTGTGGTCACAATATTATTGTTACTATTATTATTGTTATTACTATTAATAATAATAACATTACTACTATTACTGCTATTCCCTGCTTTGGGCTGAGATGTTCCTCCTGACACAGTGATGTCTAATAGCTCACAGCCCCCCTTACTCTGTAAGCCACCCCCATGTCTTGCCAGCCCAGAGCCTCAAGACTGGCCAAGGACATGTGTCTCCAAAAGCTGGGAAGGTCCTGGGGCTGGGAAGGTGGGGAGTGCCCTGGTGAGGGAGCCCTGTCCCCTGTGTCACCAGTGCCACCTGCCCTGCAGGACTGCCACGGTGTGGAAGACGCTGTCCCCGTTCTGGGGGGAAGAATATGAGGTGCAGCTCCAGCCCAGCTTCCACAGCATCTCCATCTATGTCATGGATGAGGATGCGCTCAGGTATGGGGAGGGCCTGGAGGGGGACTCAGGGGTTTATAGCTTTGGCTCCCCGTGTGCTCAGCCCCATTGCAGACACCAGAGAATCCAGACCTGACCATGCTTCCCTGAGCTTTGGGACACAAAGAGGGGAAGTTATTTCCCGAGGTTATTGTCCAGCTGGCACCAGAGGGTGGCTGATGTGCTCCATGGGTTCAGACACACCGTGGTGGCCCCAGCCCAGGACTCCCTGAACTGGGGGCTGTCCTGCCTGGGTGCCAATCTCATGCCATGTCCTGCTTCCCACTTTTGTTTTCCAGCCGCGACGACGTGATCGGGAAGGTCTGCATCACCCGGGACATGCTGGTGGAGCACCCCAAGGGTAGGGGAAAGGGTGGCTGGGGGGGTCCCAGTACGGACCCATCTCCTTGGATAAGCTGGTCCAAGGGCCCCCCCAGTGACCCTTCCATGGGGATCCCCCCTTTTCCCGCAGGATACAGTGGCTGGATGAGCCTCAGTGAGGTGGATCCCGACGAGGAGGTGCAGGGGGAGATCCACCTGCGGGTGGAGGTCCTGGGCAGCCAGGGCAGCCGGCGGCTGCGCTGCTCCGTGCTGGAGGCCAGGTGAGGAGGGGACAAGGGGTGGCAGGGGCTGTGTGTGCAGCCAGGACACGGGCAGTGAGCCTGGGCTGCTTCATGACTCAGTTTCCCTGGTGTGTCCTGTCCCTTGGATGCAGAGCATCCTCCTCACCACCCAGCAGCTGATGGGGGTCCTGGGGCAGAGTCCACCTCATCTGCTGGTCTTTGGGACATGCTGGGGAACTGAGGAGGGCAGTGGGTGCCATGGGTGCCATGTAGGTATTTTGGGAGGTCACTGATAAATATCTTCCTCTTCTGGGCAGGGATTTGGCCAGGAAGGACCGGAATGGGGCCTCTGACCCCTTTGTCCGCCTGCGCTACAACGGGAAGACACAGGAGAGCACTGTGAGTGCGACTGCAGCTCGTTGTGATCCTCAGCCTGCTGGTGGTGCAGGTGGAATCATCCCATGAGGAAACCTGAAGCCATCCCTGTTCCCTGGCATCCCTAGACTGGTGTCCCTGAGGGGCGGGACACAAGGCCATTGCCCTTGCAGGTGGTCAAGAAATCGTGTTACCCCCGCTGGAACGAGACCTTCGAGTTCGAGCTGGCCGAGCCCGCCGGGGAGAAGCTCTGTGTGGAGGTGTGGGACTGGGACCTCGTTGGCAGGAACGACTTCCTGGGCAAGGTGAGCCCCCAAACTCCATCACTGCTGCAGGGGGTCCTGCCCAGCTGCCCACCCAACCCTCTCCTGCCTTCCCCTGCCAGGTGGTGTTCAGTGTCCAGGGGCTGGAGGCGGCTGGGCAGGAGGAGGGGTGG